ATGGGAGAATATTGAGGGTTGTGGTGTTCCTATTGGAATTACCCTGGACAAGCAGGGTGAGGGGCTCTTGCAGGCTGATAGTAGAAATCCCTTCTAATGCTTGAGCAATCTGGGGAGGAACATATTTATAGCCATCCTCTTCAGCTTATTAATTCTGAACAAATTATTTTTGTCTAGTTTTGGATATTGAAGCTAGGCTCCCTAACTATCTCCGAGAGGCCTTAACCTTGCAATCCTTCTCAGCCTGAAGAATGGCTATGATTACAAATATCTACCATAAAACATGGGCAAAAAATATTTTTGATAGGAAGGCCTTTTAGCTAGGGTTTCTATTGTTGTGGTAAAACACTATAAACAAAAACATGTTGGTAAAATGTTTATTCCCACTTATGCTGTAGTTCATCATCCAGGAAGTCAGGCCAGGACCTGAAGCAGGGGTGCTGCTTACTTGCTTGCTTCCCATGTCTTGCCCAGACTGTTTTCTTATAGAATGCAGGATCACCTGCCCAAGGGTGGCATCACCCTGTGTTGGGCTGAGCCCTCCCACATTATTAAACAGGACACTGGCGTGTAGATTTGCCTACGGGTCATCTGATGGAGGCTCAACTGAGATTCTTCTTCCCAGATAACTCTAGCTTGTAACAAGTTCACCAAAACGTAACACACACACACACACACACACACACACACACACACACACACCATTTTTAAAATACAAAAAAATAACAAAACACCAAAACCACCAGGACAGATATTTTAAGTAGCAGATGGTTAGAAAAGTTAAGAGTGGAATTGTAAATAACTGATAGTACACATGCTTCTTCTGAGATAGGTGAAATGCCTGTCCCATCACAGGCTTGGCAACAAGAAGTAAGTGACTAACATAATTAAACTTGTGATTGAAGACAGAAATTTAAGTAATGAAAGGGGCAAGATGAATCCTCAGCTGGCATACACCTGGAAGTCAATACCCTTTGTTGCCCAGGATATCAGGCAACCCAGATAACCAGGCTTGACAAGGTGTACTATCTTTGATGCTATTTCATCTGGGAAAAAGACTCATGTAGGCCACTCTGGCCTCATACTAATTGTATAGTCAAGACTAGACTTGAACTGGTGTCCATCCCGCCTCTGCCTCTGGGCAAAGAGCTATCATGATACATTTGTATGAACAATGCTTTGATTTCCCAGCTATCATTCTGGGGACCAAGAGCTCCCCGTTGTTCAGGCTAGTTGTTTCTGTGGGTTTCACCAGCCTGGGTGAACATGGGTGTCAGTGAGGAGACCTCAGAAATCTATGGGGCCTTCAGTAGTAGATCAGTCCTTATACCTAGCATAGGTGTGGACTTTGGGAGTCCATTCCACATAGAGGGATACTCCATGAGCCAAGACACACAGGGGTGGGCCTAAGCCGTATCCCAAAGCATATGATAGACTCTAATGACCCCCTATGGAAGGCCGCACCCTCGCTGGAGAGCAGAAAGGATATGTGATAGGTAGAGTTTTAGTTGGGAGGTGGTAGGGGTGGAGGGGAGGGGGAAGGAACTGGGATTGACATGTAAAACAATCTTTTTTCTAATTCAAATAACAACATCTGCAAAAAAAGAACAAGGCTTTGAAAAGAATAAACATTAGCCTTGAAGTAAAGTGATGGGCTGCATCTGAGGTACTAAGATGAGCCACGTAGGGGACAAAACTCTGCTCAGACAAAAGCAGAGTACCATCAGACAAGGTACTTTCTGCTCAGCAGACTTCAGATTCAACAGCAAAAACTATGTATCCCAGACTAACTCCTCCTATAACCTCCCAAAGAACCCATGTTTCTAGTTTCATGTGCCTAGGAAGGTGAGAGAGAAAGGCATGGGAGTTAAGGAAGATTTCAAGAGATTGGTAGAATGAATAGTCCATGGCCACAAGGGGGATCAGATGGAGCAGAAAGGCTGCTTAGAAAGTGGTAGTATAAAGGACAATGTCATGAATTGGAAAAAAGTGTTGTTGGTGGTATGTTAATGCTCTTAGGATTTTAATCTTTGATTCAGTACACTCAACATATATTGTATGTTGTTCAATTCATTTTGTTTTTAACCACCAAGAAACCATACCCGATCCCACACATTAATTATCACCACTGATTTTTGGTTGAGTCAGAGAATTAGGATAGATGAATGGTCACAGTTGACCTAGCAAGGACAAAACACACAGAGCCTGAAATCACAAGAATCTTGCCTACTGTGCCCCCCTAGGGATATGTTCACCATTCCAACAAGGACAAAGAGTGCAAGTGTTTGCTACTGTGACTGGTATAGGATTTTTTTTGTGGAGGATACTGATGTTATTTGAACTCAGGGCACCATGCTCATGCCCTTTTCCCAGGGGCTACTTGCCCATCACTGGTATTTTCATTTTTGTACAAAGCTATAATGTAGGAAATAAAGACATTTTTATTTTAAGAGAAACTATTTATTTTGTTAAAGTCAAGCAAGAGGATATGTTGGTATGTGGTAAGCACCAAGCACAAATGTGCATGTTTTGACAGGGCAGAGTTCAGGGTAAAGCCACAAGAACTGACCACAAGCAAGCTCAGTGTGGATACAGAGAGTTCCATAGCTATGCCCATGCTTAGGCATGACAAAGACCAATCTTTAGCACCAGGTTGTTTCTTATGCAACAGTATCCCTATTAACAGACATATGTACATGGACTCTCTGGAATTCTTGTGTCCCTGCTAATCATAAATGGAACAGGCAAGCAGGTAATGGACAGGAAGTTCATACTTGTTATGTGATTCAGTACAAGCATGCCACAGCACCACATATTATTCTCCATAACAGGCAATCCTAGAACAACATGAAAAGTTACATGTTTGTTACAGACAGACAAAATTCCATTATTCACATTTTACACACATATCATTAAAATGTGCACAACACTGTATTTGGGGATAAGGAACCACAGGTAATTAGCATTGTGAAAATTGAAAACAAAACAGTCTGCAATTCCTTAAAAAGTTTGTGGACAGCCGGCATCACATTTCCTGACATGACCCATGATCACAGCAAGGGATGGCCAAGTGGAAGAAGGAGGAGGCTGCACTGGCGGATCAGGGACTTCCAAAGGTAGAAGTAGCTCTGTTTGATAGGAGTCAACACTTTTGCAAACATTTTCTTCCAACTGATAGTGATAGGCTGACAACAAGGCCATCTGTGGTCTGCAGTAGAGAAGCTTGCCCATATTGTCTCAGCTGTACAGAGGGCACTATCATCTTCACCAGAGCATCTGGTGTCACCCTCATATCCTGTGGCTCTGGAAGCACAGAATCTGGTCCTTTAAGACAACTGCATGTGAGAGTGTGAGCACATGCATATACACATGGATCTAAGTGTGCATGTGTATTCTGGAAAGGGTGTGATTACTGCTGAGAGACAGAAATCTTTGCATCTGCTGCAATTTCAGGCTAAAACTAGGTTTAAAAAATCCTTTGGTAGAACAAAGATTAGTGATGCCTAAACACCAAATCACTAAAGGGACTTGCACCTCTTTCACCATGCATTGAATTACATAAACATTTTTAGAACTACACCAAATCTACACACATTTACAATTAAGTAAGTCATACATGCCACTGGTGGCTGAACATTTTATCTGTCATACATACATCTTTGGTGAGGTGTCTAGTCAAGTCTTTTGCCTACATTTTTCAAACAGTTTGTTTTCTATTGTTGGGTTTTGGGAATTCTATATACAAATCTTTTATCAGATATACGAAGCCATGGAAGTGGGGTATGATGGTAAACCTAGAAATCAGAAAGTGCAGACAGCAGGATCAGGATTTCAAGCTCATCTGGACTACATAGGGAGACTGAAGCCAATCTGGGTTACAAGAGACTAATATAAAACAAACAAATAATAATAAAAACAAAATGAGTAACAAATCAGACACATCATTTACAAATATTGTTTCCCAATGTCTGTCCTGTCAACTGGAAAGCAATAGAAATACAGTGTTGCTTTAATCAGTAACACTCTATTTGTCCTTTTTCCATTTGTAATGTTAAGGACAAGGAATCTTGGAACTCTGTTTCAAATGTAAGCAATAGTCACTCCACAGGACCTCTGACAAACCAGAAGATGGAATCTTACATCTTAAGTTACATGCATGTGGCCCAAAGTAACAGACAGAAAAGCAACAAGAGACAAGCCACCAATTATCATTAAGGATCATAAACACAAACAATTAGTGTTTTGTGCTAAGGAAGCTTCAAAATATTCCATTGGTCTCAGGGGAAAAAAAACAGTGAGCAATAACATTATTAGTAGACACACTTCTAACAAAGTGATGTCAGTTGGCTACAAATAATTCAAGATGTGACAAGAAGGAAACTAGCTATCTCTTTGTTTGGGGTGTTTCAAAGCGTGCACACAATTTTGTGAAGTTTTACTCTAGGAATGAATGTATGCAATATGTAGGTTATTCCTTTCATATTTGTTTTTTCCCACTAGGAAACTTGATGTTTCCCACACATCAATAAATTATCATCATCACTGCTTTTTACTGGGTCAGAAAAAGTCATGATGATAACCTAATGAATGCTGGCAGCAGCCCATGCCTGGCTAAATCACAAGGGTCTTTCCTCTCATGCACCATAGGGATGTATTTGACATCTACACAAGGGAGGACCAAGGGTGCCACCACTGCAAAGGAGTGCTTTTTTTTTCATATCTTGTGGGCTCAGCCATTGAACATCCTAGGGGACCCTGCTGACCAGCAAAGCCTGGAATTCTGTGAAGTTACATGTAATACAAAACTGCTCAGCAAACCAACAGAAATAAAAACATAACTAAATCATCACATACTAACAGGACATTATTGTTTTTTTTCCTAGCCTTGTGGATACAGAGTGTGTCTCTCCAGAGATGGGCAAATAGGCTTGGGTTCAATCTTGTATTCCCAGGCATTAATATCCAAGGCTCAATGTCCAGCTTCTGCAGGGATGGACCTCTCATTTGCTTCTCTCAGGCTGTAGGCTGTGGAACAAGCACTTGAGCTGCTCTTCACACAGGTGGATTTTATCTTCCAGCTCTCGATGCTCAATGATGAGGGCTGATTTCATCTTCACCAAGTGCTCATAGTCAGCCAGGTTTCCCTCGCTGAGGAAGGTGGCCAGGATGTCAAACACAATGCACTCAAGATGGTCTAGGTTCTCTTTAAGCTCTTTGGAGTCCTCGTGCTTCTGGGTTAGAATTCTCTGTTTCTCCAACAGTGATTGCTGTTGAGAGGGAGGGAGACAGAAAGTCCTGTTGAGGCACAGCCAAAGCAAAGACTCTGGCCAACCCATTAAAAGTCCTGCAGCTTTTGGAGACTGGTCTTGTAACTGTCCATGGAAACCTTGAAACCACATGGGATCTCCAGAGAAATGACCAGGATGTAGTCTACATCTGTTCTAACTATGGCTAGTTTCTCTACAGTTCCTCCTTTCCTCACCCTTCCAGAAGCCACTCATAGGCCCCACTGGGTTTCCTCTCTCTGTCTGTGACTTCTTCTCTGTCATTTGCCTTAAAGTCAGGGAACAGAATCTACAGAGTTCTGACATGTTTCAAAGGGACAAAGGACTTGAGGATCCTGTTTGTCCCAAAATTGTAAAAGGGAAATACTATAATTAAGTTGAGCCTGGTGGCTCAGGCTTGTAATGTCAGCTACTCAGGAGGCTGGGGCAGAAAGCTCATAAGTGAAAGGAATGCCAATCTTTTATGAAGTAAATTCCAATCTAGTCTAGCAAACTTACTGACACCTGGCTACAAAATAAAAAGCAAAAGTAGCATTGAGCTATAGTTCAGCCGTAGATAGTTTTCCTAATATTTGTAAGTTTATGGGTTCTTATACTAGAGAGTATAAGAGGGAGAGGAGGAGAGGGAGAAGGTTGAATGGACACACACAAACATACACACAAACACACACACACACACACATGAATGATTGATTCTAGGGTAGTATTAAACTCTTTAACAGGAGGTGTTAAAAAGACAAACAAATGCCATAAAAGCAAGACACAGGGAAAAGCTGCTGGAGGTGTGTATGGAACAGTATATAATAGCCCTTAAGTCCTTACAGTGTCCTGTTTTGGGTGGGGTATACAGTGTCCTGCTTCAGACAATGATGTCTCTTACACACAAAACTTGAAATCATTGCTTTCAGTTTGTAGAATATATACATCCAATAGAAACCCTACCAAGTCCTAGATGAAAGAAGCTAAGAAAGAAAGAGATGAATTCATTCATTGTCTTCATGTGGAGACAAGCAGAAAACCGTCAGGAAACAGGGCTGTTACCTGTTATTAAATGTGGCCTGAACAAGAAACTCTTTTTGACATTCCTATGACCATAAAAGGTTTAGAAATCATCTTGCCTCGTCAGGTCAAAGACACACAAAGAGATAAGTTATTTTCTGGAAAGAGGCCAGGTAAGGCCACTGTACTTCAATCAGAAAATAAGCATACATTAACTTGTTCTACAAATGTAGTTCAGGTTGTGAAAATACTTGAAAGCTACTGAGATAGTCATGGAAGAGTGCAGTAGATGATTGATTAATAAACAGGTTCATTTTGAAGTCCCATAATATGCAAGGAATACAGAAAGATGTTGACTGAAACATAACCTATGAAACAAAGTCAGCAAGTGATGTATTTCTCTTCCTTTGAGTTCAAGAAAACTGAGGATACTCATGGTTGTACATGCCCGTAATGGCCCCTATCCCCACATCGCATTAGCTTGTTCTGTTGGTCAACTGAAAGGAAACCGAGAAGAGTGGACCTCAGATGGACCAGAGCTCCATGCTCTAGTCACTATATAGGCCAAGCACAGACAGCATGAGACTTCTGAGTGCTGACTTTCTTAGCACCCCAAGGACAGCATTTCTAAGGATCTTCACCACTTCCGAATTCCCAGGCAGATGTGTTTGCAATTACCAGATCACCAGGAAAAGGACTGTCATCCAAATTATTGAGGGCATTTCCCACAAGTGCCAGGTGGCCTGACAGAGACAGCAGGAGTTTCACCACATTGTCCAGGTCCCCAGTGAACATCTGGAACTTGTTGGATTCATTAGGTTTGCAGACATCTCTCACAATGGCTTCCACCTCATCCCCCATAGCATTATTGGCTTGGATGTCCTCCATCAGGCTCTCTTCGGCTTACAGGAGTACCTGCAGCTTGAGGATGATACTGTCAATGAACTCTTGCTGTAGGGCAAAATGAGGCACGGGGACACTTGTTAGAATGATCTCAAGCTAGTGCCCTAAGTTAGAGTAGCCAAGTCATACACAGCCTGGGAAGAATTCAGTCAGATGAGAGGTGTTAGTCTTTGTTCCACCAAATAATGGGAAATTTATAAAATAAGTGAGAGGAATGCCTCCTGATCAAAATTGAGCTTCCTTGTTTGTATGAGACAAAAAGGTGGCTCAGCTGCCAAGTCTGATGACCTGAGTTCCATTTCTACAACCCATATAGTGAAAGGAGAACCAACTCCCACCAGTTGTACTCAAACTTCCATCATGTTCTGTGACAAGCACGCATGCATGCACACAGGCACACTCATGTGCGCCCACATAACATATTGCTATTATATGTATATATATGTACATATATATATATATATATATATATATATAT